TTTATTATATCCTGCCATGCTTCTGGCTACTAAAAATGGAGCTGTCAGCTTCCAGTTGCTAATTCATTTATTTATTTAAAAGGTTAGTGTTACTGCTATAAAAAAAGTGATAAAGCACCATGGCACAAGGAACCAGAAAGGATAGTTGGCATGTTGTGTAAGAGTTAGAGGAAGATTCCGGCTCAGATTCTGCTCCCTTAAGGAAGCAAAAACATTTTATTCTGTAAAATGACAGCAAAATAATTTATTTGTGGATTATTCTCGAGAGACTCATAAAAGCATGAGGAATTTGTTTATTTGATTTGTAGGTCTTACTGTAATTACCTTTCAGGACATGAAATACCTTGGAGCTACAATAAAGTGGAAGAGGAAAGGTCTTTCTTTCTCTTGACCTGTGACTCTTACCTGAAATCAAATAATTAATTCCTCATTGAGGAGCATGGCCTCTTGTCTATACAAAAACCTTTTACCCATCATCTTTCTCTGAAGATGACTTAATTGGGAAGGATTCATAACTTCTGATAGAATCTTCTTGCCTTTGTATTAAGGCCAATAATCCAAGCAAAGACCTTGAGATAAAGTTACAGGATTATAAAGAGTACAGGGAAGCAAAAACATCATTAGGGTAAGATCAATTGAACTGAATCTCAAGGCTGCGTCTACACTATAATATTTTTATAAAATCCTGAATTGTTAACATAAGAATAGCCGTACCAGGTCAGACCAAAGGTCCATCTAGCCCAGTATCCTGTCTACCGACAGTGGTCAAGGTGCCCCAGAGGGAGTGAACCTAACAGGCAATGATCAAGTGATCTCTCTCCTGCCATCCATCTCCATCCTCTGACAAACAGAGGCTAGGGACACCATCCTTACCCATCTTGGCTAATAGCCATTAATGGACTTAACCACCATGAATTTATCCAGTTCTCTTTTAAACGCTGTTATAGTCCTAGCCTTCACAACCTCCTCAGGCAAGGAGTTCCACAAGTTGACTGTGCGCTGAGTGAAGAAGAACTTCCTTTTATTTGTTTTAAACCTGCTGCCTATTAATTTCATTTGGTGACCCCTAGTTCTTGTATTATGGGAATAAGTAAATAACTTTTCCTTATTCACTTTCTCCACATCACTCATGATTTTATATACCTCTATCATATCCCCCCTTAGTCTCCTCTTTTCCAAGCTGAAGAGTCCTAGCCTCTTTAATCTCTCCTCATATGGGACCCGTTCCAAACCCCTAATCATAAATTAGCCCCCATCATATTGTATGTATATTTGGGGTTATTTTTTCCAAT